TGAATACGTCCCTGTTCTCTCTGTACATATTGTGAGTTTGTCCATTTCCGTAATAGATAAATTTGATGAGATTTTCATCTAACAGCTAACACATGTCGGTTATAAATCTGGCGGTCCTGATCGCTCCGGTACATCATGATGGTATCACCGTGACACTGTCTTCGCCTGCATCCGGATTATGCTCATTATTCAGACTAATTATCGACAATTAATTACAATAAACTGGTTAAGTATCATTTGATCTTCGTACGGAAAGTGAGTTAAGTTCGTAGTTAAGTTGTTGGTGATTTCTTTTTTTTATTATAATAGATGAGAACAGACTAGCATAGGGATGGTAAAATACCCCAGACATAGGTAACATGATGTGTTGGCGATCTATTTTAGCTTTAGATGTTCGGATTTAATAAAAAATAATCCTTCAAATAATTGTAACTAATATATATCGCGTTTAAAACCGTTAAAGTGTTGTATTTAAATGTGTACTACCGTGTAAACTACAGAGAGTATTTAAAAAATAAATCCCGTTTTGCATTGGGCAGAAATATGTTTGCGTCCGTTTCAGTCATCGATTTTTAATAAGAGACTAAGTAGTAGTGATATTTCAATTCTGTTAGGCATTGCATTTTCCAAGACAGTCATAAAACAATAGTTCGTATCTTATATTAATCTTATTTGTATCAAATGTAGAGATATAAATAATAGGTATCTTTTAACATATTTAATAGAAAATTTAATTTTTGCCAGTAAAGTATCCAAAAACGCAACAATACGTTGACAATGGTACAACTTGAATTCGCGTTTTTATTTACCTCGTATGTAACAGTTTAGTGTCCGTTCCTACTTATTTAGACTCGTGCAATCGTTGAATGGTGCAAACGGCTTAATTTGAACGAAGAAATAAGGATAAACTAGTTGATCCCCAAATTGGCCATAAGTTAATTTTTGTTGTATTGACAATATAATTGATTGGTGATATCAAATATCTAAATAAATTAGAAGTTATAACGCATTTTGATTTTCTCACCAAATTTTGAGATTACCATAATGAAACGATTGCCTGGCGAGTTATATGAATTGCTAAAACAATACATGTATTAACTCTAGAGGTTACTACATTTATAATAAGAACTATTTTATAAGACAATTAAAAATGCCGGACTTTTCTTGAGTGTTCTTGTCACAAGTTATTTTGCTCTTTTGAACCATTCTAGAATCACGAGACAGACGCGCAAAGCGGAAGCCGTCAAAAATAATATTTCCCTTTTTTTCCCCACATTTTTACTGTTTCTTCTGCTCCTATTGGCGGCAGCGTGGTATTATATAGCCCTTAAGCCTTCGATCAAAGGTCTATACAACTCAATGTTTTTTTTCAAAGCAGTAGTTTCAGAGATAAACGCGGTCAAACAAACAAACTCCTCAGCTTTATATTAGTATAGATTAAAAATATTAAACGATGCAAAATATGAAACGATTTATAGACAGGTAGGTAAAGATGATATGGACAGGCTTTAAAGATGCGTGGAATAAAAAATGCCAACAATGTGGTCGGGCCTCGAGTATCGAGTTACTCGTCTGACGAGTTAGGGCTGTTTTCCACTGCAGGAGCCGGAATATTTGTTTTTGGTAGATGTCATGCTATTTAATTTAATTAGCCGAGTGTAATACGGCCTTATTGAAAGAAGTGTTGTGTAGGCGTGCTGCGGTTGTAGTTTCGAGATTTAATATTCATTTATCCAGCTAAGCTCAAAAGGTAATGTAGGAAGTGAATACAAAAAAGTCCAAAAACTGAGTACCTATAGATAAAACTTTCAAGCGTCCGAATTTTCGGGTTGTATTATTTATTATTTATTTATTTCACACTTTGGAACAGACGAGATGCAGATACACAATGAAATTGTACAACTGATAGAGGGCAGCGAACGGTCTTATCGCTATAAGCGAACTCTTCCAGCCAACCCCCAGTAGAAAGAAACTTAACTATTAAACTAGACAATGTGCTTCAGAGAAATGAAAAATAATAGATTTCGCGTTTAAATCCATTAATATTATATAAAAATAGTAATTGACACATTTCTTCTATGTGTCGCTTGGCAGATATATTTAAGTAATTGACGATCGATTTTAGTTATAGACAAGTTAATAAGCTTTTTGTGTCTTGCCCGACCAAAACTATACATTTATTTGAAACTTTATTATATATCGCACATGATAGTTCCATTTAAATAAAAAAACGTTTTTAAATTGAATTGGTTAGTGCAACATCACTGAACGCCGTGTCGTAAATTCTTTTATCATTTAATTTTTGAGTATTTGAATCCATGAACTCGCCTGCTTATAACGTCTAACCTAAAATTGGGTAACTGGGAGTCCTGATATTGAAAATATTATATTGTATTGCATGCGGTGGAACACAACCCTAAGTTCGCTTTTCAACAGCAATGATATAAAGACGAACGGGTCGTTATCAGACAGTTGTCTTCATCTTTTGATGATGAAAGGTAAGGTAACCCACACTTTGAATCCTAAAGCCGAAAAGCGTAATGCGGGTTAATTTATTGCGATGCACTCAAGCAAAAACTTATTCCGTATTTTAAATAAAACACTTTAATGGCTTAAAACGCGATATATTTTAATTAAACATGTTTGAAAATTATTTTTGGCCAGTTTCGCCAAATACCAACTTCGACGTAATAGATGGCGCTAGCGTAGCAATTTTTTACTTTGACGTCAAAGATATCCTCCATCTTTAGTCTCTCCGTGACCACGGCTGCTGCAAAGCATCCGAAACGTCGGGCCGAAGTTAAAAATCATTTTCAAATAAGTTTAACTAATATATCGCGTTTTAAACCGTTAAAGTGTTTTATTTAAAAGTACAGACAGTATACAATTTTATTTTATTTATATAAATCCATAGAAACATGTTATGTAAATGCTTTAAGCCAACTTATATGAAAACATATTTTTATTAAAACTTATTACGAAAGTCGAGGTGGAATATTTTATGGCCTATTAGAAGACAATAAATCAAGTTATTCGGAAATATTACGATTTGCAATCTATAAAACAAGACTGGCGAACTGTCGATCTTTTATTTATCGATTTTATAACCAAAACATAAGTTAATTGCAGTGAGATTTTCAATATTCTATTAGCAAGATTAAGAATCAAGCGAACTTTGCGATTTGGGAGAAAAAGAAGAAGACGGGCGGGCTCTTTCGTGTAATGGTAGCAATGTATAGCTAATAACCAACAGGTTCGATCCCCACTGGGACCTACATTTTTCTTATCAATTTATAATTTTATTAACACGTTGGACTTCGTCTGGAAATCTACGACACCGTCCACATATTAAAAGGTGGTAGTTTAATCCGAATATCAAAATTTTGCCAAAAAAGGTCGCACGAGCCGACGTTCACCAGATGAAAAGCATCATTGTAAGTTTATTATAAAGCTGAGAAGATAGTTTGTAAAAAAATGTTAACTATTCCAGTGGACGAAGTCGCGGGCTCAACTAGTTCCAAAGCATCTATATAAACAAGTTTCCATCAACAACGATAATTCGTTTTAACCTATTATCATCCCAGTGCTGGGCCCGGACCCTTATCTCTAAGCTAAGACCCACCCCGCTCTAGTTCAGACAAGATCAGCGTGGGATTTAATAACTACCGCCATTTAATGGTTTATTAACCCGGAGGACAGATATAACCGGTTCGTAAGACCAAGCAAAATCAAAACCGTAAAGGCAAAAATATTTGCCTAACAAGATTAACTATTATTTTTATGCTTTAAGTGTTGTTGATTGGAGGGAGACAGACAACCGTGGGGTTCACTCATCACACATCTTAACAAGATGTGTGGCTTTTTTGGCTTTGGATATTTTGCAATACACTGAGTAAAACGCGATTAAACTTGACGGTTTTTTCATGTGTAGACGAGGGTTCGTGACCCGGACGGTATTTCGATGTTCCTACCATCCATTTAATATCCAAGTTTCCAAACGAAGTCCAACATGTTTCAGAAACAATATAATTACATATTTTTTTTACCTACAATAAAAAAATACAAAGTTACTAATTTAAATAATATAATTCACTAAGTAGCTTTTATTTCTATGGTTTTTAAAACGTGTTTAATTTGGATAAAATTAATTTTTTATTTGATAAGCATCTCTATTAGAATATGATAAATGATGCTGTTAAAATCTATTAGGTATTAAGTTAAAAGTATTCGTTATTTTCAATTCGGATAATAGTATGAGTTTAATCATGCGACAACCGTCAAGTCAGCGTGGGAGCAAGTTATCGGAACCACAGTACAATATCGCGCACAGTAATACAATTCTTTAACTAAAAATATGTGAAAACATATCATTGCAACACTAATAGATATATACATACTATGGAAAAATACATGCTATCGTAATATATAATTGCATAAAAACTTAAAATTTACACATCATGAACGGGAAACTACTGCGAAGTTTACCTTTCGTAAATAAATTATATATTTATTATATAAGATTGATCAATTAAAAATCGATTATAGATTGAAGAAAAACGACAAGAGCAGGACTTGAATCGGCATCCGCATCGTTCCATGCTGTTGCTCTTACCAATGGAGCTACCGTGTCCTGCCCGTGCCGTCATTTTTATTTCAATCTATAATTTCTAATTAAATTAGTGCCATCATGGGCAACAACATGTGAATAGTATTAAAGTTTTAAAAAGATTGAACAATTGTATGACACGGTCTCGAACCCACGATCGTAGAGTTCTGCGTTGTTATTCTTACCATCTTCGGTTGAGCTTTAAAGGTTTTTAACTTTAAAAGTTATCGATATTAGTAAATCTCTTTATTTCGTATTTATTTACTACAATGTAAGAAAGAAATAAATATAATTACAATCAAATAATTCTTATAAAAGAACAAATTTGAAGAAAAGTGATGCTAAAGGGCCTTGCTATTCACGGGCAACTATTCCCATTCTACTGTGGAAAAGCTTAGCAAAAAGCTGCGCATGAGTCGGTGTACGGCGCGCGGGCGGCAGTCGGCCCGCAACCAGCAACCTGTCGGCATCTCTCGTAGTCCACGCGTGCTGTCGGACTATTTCCATCAGTGTCGTGAAGTGCTAGTGAGTGTGGTCTAAGTGTGAGAAAGTGCATCGACCGAGGGTGCGTCGCCCGAAGGATTATCCATGTTTGCTAAATGGTATGTTATTTCTGACATAGCTGACTAAATGTGACCGAAAGTTACTGAAAGCTTCTAAATAGTAGCTTGAAGCCTGAACTGGCGTACCGAGTGCGCAAGCGCAGGTGCCTCCAGGCAGTTGTAGAGGTCACGAAATCGCATGGTGTTCAAATGTTATCTTGTATCGTTTAAAAGGGGAAATTAGTATAATTAGATTGTATTGCTTGTATATAGTGTATGGGGCGGAGAAAGATTCAAACAAGTTTTAAACGAGGGGTATTTTAATAAATAATAAATACAGCCATGGACGTATGATATATATTAAATAACTAGGCTATGTTTTTTTAGTTAAGATATTTGCACACTAAACAGAAGTGTAGATATACATAATCCCGTTGTCCCCTTGGGGCATGGGGCGAACACATTTCTGTATTTCTTTCAATTTATTAACCTGAAAAGCGGGTATTTATAAGGCCTTAAGCTTTCTTATAATATAAGTAGAACTTTACTAATTGTATCTTTTCTTTACCTCTCAACAAGTACCTATATAGTTAATACAGTTTCTCTGTTTACAATTGTAGTCATAAAACAACACGTTTAAACGGTTTTAAACGCGAACTTTACGAGTTAAACATCTAATCGTTACAACTGCTGCTGTAATGCGAAATGTTGAAGGTTGAAAACGATTTATATAAGTATTAAACCGTTAGTAGTTTGCGTATTAAACCGTTAAATAGCGTTTACGCTTCGCAAACTACGGATGTAACTTATATCCTTACTGGCTGTGTCAGCCACATCGTCCGCGTCCCGTGGCTCTTCTACTATAGACACATACTTTCGCAGACATATTTTTTAAGATCCTTTAAAGGGAAATCATTCTTTCATACATTATTTTTGGGAAACCCACAAGGATGGAATTTTCCCCGTTTTTTTTTTCACGTCTCCCGTTGTTTCTCACCGCGATGTTTATAACCTATAGCCTAACTCCATAAAGGCTCTAACTAACACAAAAAAAATCTGCAATTCAAACCAGTAGTTTCCGAGATTAGCGCGTTCAAACAAACAAACTTTTCAGCTTTATATATTAGTATAGATAGATAAAAATTAGTATTTCTATTTTCATGCACCAAGGTGCCACCGTCTTGACCACTACCAAATAAGATATAAGACTATCGTTGCCTACTTTTGAGTTGACGCCTCTGTCAGCGATGATGACTCAGCGAAAATCAAACCGCTCATCACTAATACTTACGATAATGACATTCGAAATCATTCGAATAGATTTGTATTGACGTGTAGTCATCTCGCGTCTGCAAGACAGGGATGGACGGATGACCGTTATTTTATTTTTTTTGTTTTGTTTGTTCTGAGTCCCGTCGTGCTGGAAGTGTTTTTGTTGCTACAAGATTCTCTTTGGAACGAGTAGTTATTATTAATAGTCATATTTTCCTCTAGTAGTCACATTCCGTTTTAAGCCTCTACCTCACTACGACAAACAGTACAATTTTTAACTTTACCGAACAGCTTTGCCATTTAGCAAATACATACAAAAATAGTACTTTAAAAGAAAATAACGGTTTAAAACGCGCAGTCACTCGCGATCGCGCCTACTGCAAAGCATCTGAAATACCAGGCCATAGTTAAAATAAACTAAAGTTAAGTTAACTAATATAATTCGTGTTTTAAAACGTTAAACGTGATTTATTTCTTTGTTGTTAGTTTAGGATATGTAGCTTTCCTTTTTATTTGAACAAGTATCTTACAGTTAATATTTAACACAGGACATATTTTTACGGTTTAAAACGCGAACTTTAGTAGTGAAATATTTAGTTATTACCTGCTGTAAAGTATTAATTATTAATTAATGACACCCTAAAAAAATTGTTTTCATTACTTTTTGAAGTGCAGTTAATGCTAAATACAAATAAACTGGAATTAAACTAAAATATTAACACATAGTATACTAATTGTGCAGTAGAAAGATAAACTGGTGCACATGCGCAAGCGCAGGAAGACGACTGTTTACGACGGGGCGCTATTTCTGTGACCACTGCGAGTCAACACGTGCTCTGTACATATTAAATTATTTATTTTAAACCTTTTTACTGTTGTGTTTAAATACACTAGGTAGTTTGAGTTTAAGCTAATTTTATTTTCAAATATAAGTCTTCAGACTATATAAATCCTGGGGAAACATAAAAAATATTGTTTGGCATTCAGAGCTCAAAAGTCTACCTTGATTTAAATAAAACAATTTTAAATACAAAACGCGAAATAAATGAAACTAGGGACGCCCACAATTAAGCGTCTAAAATATTATTATTACCAAAAAGTGTAAATAAGTTTAACTAGTACGTATCGTTTTAAACCGTAAATATGTTTATCTACTCGCGTAAATTACAGACTATTTACATCTAATGAAAATGTGTTAATAGTATTTAAGTATCCAAAAGTGCAAACCACAGACAATACTTAGATTCCTAAATTGGCCCATTGGCAAACTAACAATGATTGTTGAATAAGAAGTATTTTGTAAGTTTATTCAGCTTTATCCAGTTAACCATAAAGAATACGCAAAGCCAAAATAGATCGACAACACATCTTGTTGAGATGTTGTGCTGGGATATTTTACCTATTATAAAGTACTTGACTGTTCACCTCTATCATAAAAATAAAATAACATGCAAGAATGTATCTCTACCTCTGAGTATTTCAAACGCTTTCGGAATGTCGATTATCTTTACCAAGGATCACGAGAGAAATGCACAAAATTTAAGTCCTTCCCGCCATTATCTTAGGTCGGAAAGGTCCCTTTTAAGTGCGATGGTATCATGGAAAACTGGTGTCTTGACCAACTGGCTTCCGTTGTTCCTTATCAATTCTCATCTTCCTTACGAGATGATAAGATATTACTGTACACTGTATGTATGTCTTGCAACCACTAATTGAACCGGCGTTAGAGAATAAATGAGAATCACTATTTAAATGAAACACTTTTAACGGTTTAAAACGCGAGTGTATTACGGTAAAAATAGTACAAGATTTAAGGGAGCTGATCTGTACAGCAAGTTGCCTGGCAGTACAAAGAAACACGCCAAGCTAATTACTTAACATCTTTAAAAAACCATTAAAAATGTATATTTTTAAATAAGTTAAACAATGAGCATTTTTTCCTTTGATTAAGTGCATTTCCACACATTTAAGATAAGGTATGGTTGTTTTATCATTAGGTGAATTAGAGAAAAAATAAATCTTAACTTTACTTAAATATATTAGTCAAAAGTTTTACTTACGGGCCGATATTCCACGTTTAAAACGGTTAAAAATGTTTTATATTAATGTGAAAAAAAATTTAAATTTTTGGGGGAAAAAAAGGGGGGGGGGGGTTTTTAAAAATTTGGGGGGTTTTCAAATAAAATTTTATTTTAGGGGGGGGGGGGGGGGGGGGGGAGGGAGAAAAAATTTCGGGCAAATGCTAATAATTACTCGCGGAAACCGTTAAAAATGTATTAAACACCCGCGGAACCAAGACAATAATGATTAGAAAATATCCACGCATATTCCACAGACTGTTTTGAAATTATATAACAGCCGCGAACTAGATTCGCGATCGGCCGAAATTACATGGCGTGCCATAGTTAAGTGCCAACTCCTAGCCAGCATAATCTCACCAGCTGGGCACCTGCATGGCCAATCGCTAATTTCCCACTTGCCAGGATTATTATTAGGAGGTTCGTGAAGCAATTTCGAACAATTGTGTTGCTGTGTATTCGTGATTCGTGCTGGTTTAATTGCGAAATAGTCGTAATATTTGACGGGTAATGTATGGTTAATACGGTTAATATATGGTCGTGAGTTCGACCCCCACCTGTTTCCAAACATGTGATTCTAGAAAATTAATATTTTTTCTGAAACAAGTAGAACTTTTTTCTAAATAAAACATTTTAACGGTTTAAAACTCGATATATTAGTTAAACTTAATTGAAAATAATTTTCAACTTCGGCCCGACGTTTCGGATGTTTTGCAGAAGCCGTGGTCACGGGGAAGCGTTTAAACCGTTATAGTGTTTTATTTAAATGTGTACTACTCGCGTAAACTATAGACAGTATTTAAGTAGAACTCCGTCTGGACGTTTGGATTTCAGTTTTAGTACGTGGATTATGAATATCCAAAGCTAAAATAGGTCAACAGCAGATCTTGTTTAGATGCTAAAGGGGTAATTCACCTACCATCAAATGAAGCCTGAGCTTGTCTGTCCTCCACTATCATAAAAATACATATTTTTCGTATAAACTACTGTAGTTAATGGAGAATCTTCCGATTAATTAGTGGACCTATAAGAACGTAATTATATCTCATTAATATAATAGGTTAATTTAGGAATGACCATAGACATAAGTTTTATATACTTTGTATAATGTAGGATGATAAGTTTGAAGTCTACAATAGGTGCGGGGTAGTATGTTGTTACTAGTTTGTGAAATCATTCGTTTATATGAATCAATAATGTTATTTGAAATGAATGTATTATTTTTATGATAACATATTATATAAACATTTAAAAACTTTAATGATTTTGACGTCCTATTGGAATAATAGCATTATATCAAATAAAAATCGATTCATATTAAAAAAAATTAGCTACTGCACCGCGGTAGTGTACTCGGTAGCTCAATTGGTAGCAGCACAAAACGCTGTGGATTTCGTTTCAAAGCCCGTGTTGTATTTTTTCTTCATCTAAATAAATTAAGAATTCATGTAACATTATTTTTTACTATGAAAGTATAATATAGTATATTGTAAAAGACTTTGACACCGCTGTAAGCTTATTTTTTTTATAAACCATGATCTTGTTGCACCATAACCCGAATATCCAAAGCGCATCTTGTTGAGATGTTATATGGCTAGGGTATTCACTCTCCATCAATGAACCCTGCTTCTCTCATCATACAAAAATGGGAAAAATCTAATAGTAGAAAAGCCTAATATATCGCGTTTTAAACCGTTAGAGTGTTTTATTTAAAAGTAGATAAGCCTTCAAAAACTTACTTTTTCACTCTTGTCGACTGTCAGGCTTGTCATCCTATATTTGACAAAGTATAGTCAATTTGAGAAGCTATAAGAAGATTCGATTTTAAAAAGTTATAAATTCACTTTATCA